GCTGGTCCTGAATCCCATCTCCTCTAAAACAGCTGCCAACTTCTGGTACCAGCAGCGTGGCGCCTGCTTCAAGCCGTAGATGGACTTGTTGAGCTTGCACACCCTGCCCGTACCATCCTCATACCCAGGCGGCTGCGTCATGTACACATCCTCCTCTAAAATCCCATTCAGGAATGCCGTTGAAATATCCATCTGAATGATGAATTTCCCACTAACAGCTGCATCTGCCAACAAGACACGGAGGGTAGGGGGTTTGGCAGTGGAAGCAAAGATCTCGTTGAAGTCCTGCTTCTCCTTCTGCATAAACCCCTTCGCCACCAGCCTACTCTTGTAGATGGTGACCTGCCCCTTGTCATCGGTCTTGATCCTCAGCACCCACTTGCATTGTATCGCTTTCTTCCCATCAGGCAGCACCACCAGATCCCATGTCCTATTCTCCAGCAGACTCTGGTACTCAGCATCCCTAGAAGCCAGCCACTTGTCCCTATCTGGTCCAGCTAATGCCTCCTCCATGCTAGCTGGTTCCTCTGGTGCAGGGGCAAGAAAACAGTACGCAGGCTCATCCTCCTCATCCGGGTCATAGCCATGAGGTAGAATCAGCAATGCCTCTTCGGTCCCTAGCTGCTGCTCTGCTGCATCAGTTCCTGCAGTCAGCTTCTTAGTAGCCATACGGGTACGTCCTGGCCTGGAGACGGGTGTCTCCCATCCCTTCATAACGACACCCTTCGGCTTCTTAGTTTTTCCCTGCTGCTTCTCTCCTCCCTCGGGTCCAGCAGCTCCACTAGTGCTGCCGCCAGTTTCCACACCATTTTCTCCACCAGCAGATGCCTCCTGTACCTTCTCTCCATCACCATTTCCAGCAGCTGCCTCCTCTCCCTCCTCCCACACACTAGGAGTCAGGTCCAGCTGCATGGTGATCTGCTCCATCTGCTGGGACACCCTTGCCTCCAGCTGTTTCTCCCAGCTCCCGTACATCATGCCCTCAATGAATTTCACATCCCTGCTGTCAAACAACACACCCTTGGATGGTTCCCACAGCAGCCATCCCTTGCTCTCAGCAGCCAGCCCCAAATGCACACACCAGATTGCACTCGCCCCCAACTTACTGCGGTAGGTCTTGGGGACGTGGGCGACTGCCATGCAACCGAACACCCTCAGCATGTCCACCGGCGGCTTCCTCCCAAGCCACCTCTCCAACGGCACCCACGAGTCATCCCCAACCTTGGTGAGCACCCTGTTCCTAGCGACAGTGGCGTGCCGGACAGCATGAGGCCACATAGAATTGCTCAGCCCAGATTCTATGAGCAGCGCCCTAGCTGTCTCCAGAATGGTCCGGTTTGCCCGTTCTGCTACACCATTGGACTGTGGGGTATAAGCCGTGGTCAGCTCTCTCTGGATGCCCTGCTTCTTGAGCCAGGCCGTCATTTCAGCTCCAAGGAACTCACCACCCCGGTCTGTCCTAATCCGCTTCACTACACACTCCGCCTGCTTCTCCACGAATGGCAGCCAATCGTCCCGTATCGTGGAGGCGGCGTGGTCCTTCTGCTTCAGCGGATACGCCCACATCAGCCTGCTCCAGTCATCCACAATTGTAAGAAAATACCGCTCCCCCTTGTGCCCTTGCACCGGCAGCGGCCCCACCAAGTCCATGTGGACCAGCTCCAAAGGCTTCTTGCTCCTGCCAGCCACACTATGGAAAGGGAAACGGGTGAACTTTGAAAGCAAACAGATTTCACAGTTGTCATCGGGTGGCTGTCCGTTCAGCTTCAGACCCTTAACGGCTCCATCCTTCTCCAGCTGCTTCAGCAAAGGCATTGCCACATGCCCTAAGCGCCGGTGTGCCGTTGCCCAATCTGTCTCCCCAGATCTGGCCGACACTTTCACACCAACCCCTCCAACGGCATTGCACTCCCCCTGGGATGCAGACCCCTCTCCAGCCTGCCCCCCACCATGCCACGCCAGGGCCGGCAGCTGCCACATAGATCTGTACACGTCCTTGCTCTCGTGCAGATCCCAAAGCACCCGATTGCCCAGCTGCCCCTTATAAGTGCGTGCCCCATCCGTGTTGGTGTTCACCCCAGCCTTGCCAAGCTTACGGAGGGAGATAAGGTTGGCCTTCAGGTCGGGGACGAAGAGAACGTCGTGCAGCACCACCGGCTTGCCATCCGCTCCCTTAAACGCAGCTCGTCCCGCACCAGCCACCTTCAACATGTGTCCAGAGGCGGAGCACACTTCATTGATCGGTGCAGCTCGTACTTCGTCCAGCAGGTCCTTGCGCGGCGTCATCGTCCAAGCAGCGCCTGTGTCCAACACCCAATAGTCCAGGGGGTGCAGCTCTGCTCCAACTTTGGCAGAGGCGTCTCCTTGCTCCCCCTTGTTTCCCACATGGAAGAATTGGCCCACGGTGCGCTCCTTCTTCTTCTCCGCACCGCCGTTGCCCTTCGGGTTGTTGTCGGACGAATCAGCGACCATGTTGGCGCCGTTTTTCTGGTTCCTCTGCGCGCCGCCATCCTGGTGACGATTCTGGGGGGTCCATCCATCGGGTTTCTTATAGCACAAAAACCAGGGGTGCCCTTCCTTCTCACAATACCAGCAACTCCCTTTCATTTTGCCACCAGCACCCGACTTGCCCCCACGTCCAGATTTCGCACCGCGACCCCAACCGGTACCTCCTTGTTGGTCGTTGGAGTCGTCGTCTTTCTTTGCACCGCGTCCAGCACCACCGAAGCCATGTCCTCTGCCACGTCGGCTCCCTTGCATCCCATAGCCGCTGCTGCCGTCGTCTCCACCCCTCAGTTGGCGGCGACGGAAGTCCTCCTCCAGAATCTTCGTCCGCACCCACTCGAGCGTCCACAAGCTCTGGTTCTGCGGCAGGCTCAATCCGCTCGTAAATTGAAGCCACGATTCTGGCAGCAGCGAGAGCATCTTCAAGCACTTGGTCTGCTCCGGGTAGGTGATTCCCGCGGTCGCCAACTTCGCGTAGAGGTCGCGCATCTTGTCCAGGACTGGTTGCACCGGCTCTCCCTCGCTCAGGCGCAACGCGGACAGCTCCCTCTCCAGCATCAACGTTGCGACAACGGAGGTCGGGGCGTGCAGCTCCTTCAACACGGTCCACGCCTTCGGACCGCATTCAACCTCCGGCAGCAGGTGCATGACGTGGTGACGCTGGTTCAGCTCCAAACTCTGCGACATCAAATAGTAGCCAGCCGAGGAGCGCTCGTCCCAATCTTCCTGCAGCGTGGGGTCACTCGGTCTAGGCTCCTCCCCAATCATTAGTTTCAGCAAACCGATCTGACGGAAATATAATTGCATTTTCCAGGCCCAATCATCATAGCCCTCACCATTGAACTTCTCGACGGTGAAATTCTTCAGCACCTCCTTGACAAGCGAGCCCTGGTTTGTTCGCGCTCCCCTTGGCGCTGAAAGACCAGAATCTTGGCTGCCGCTACGATCTTGGGCTGAAGATTCACCAGCTCCCGCCGAGGTGTTGCCCGCCATAGCTACCTATAACGAGGATCACTATAACGCAGCTCTGATACCAGCTTGTTGGTGTAAGGGCCTAATAAACTCAAGCTATTAGGACTTAATCAAATTTAAAACCTCTCCTCGGGGTCACCTCCAAGGGTCCCTGGGTGCCTGGTACAAGACCAGCCCCTATCCTCGGGTCCGAGTTTGTAGAGAGAGGGATCAAGAAGGACTTAGTCAAAACAGCAAGAGTACCTTGAACGTCGCGCAGCGTGCCGTGCAGACCGTCGGTCGGATTAAGCTGAGAATTCGCTATATCGAAGCTCGCTCCAAGAGCTTTAAAATGAGCCAAGTTGCCTCGCGAAAAGTTCTGCCATTACGAAGTTATGGCTCAGACGGTGTTTGCCTAGCGTTGGAGTGCTAGCATACTAGCGTTGACTCGGGTAGCATTCCGCCGTCGAACCGCGTAGAAACGAAATTCCAGCGAGGAAGGAATTCACATGAATCAATTTGACTATATTCAGGTACAAACAGAGAAGGATTAAATAGTTCTAGCTAGCAAGGACCTTGGCAATTAACCTGGGAACAACCAAGGATGATCCCAAATAATTCCAAGCAACAGAACCAACCTGGCTGGACAAAATAGCAGGTGGTAGGTTGGTAAACAACCTCTGGTTCTGTTTTTCCAACCTGGGAAAACAACAACCAGGTTCAGGTTCTAAAAACAGAACCTGTTTTGTCTTTGCCCAACCAGCCAAATGCTGGTTCCGCTGGTTTCCCCTGGCCTTGTAGCATGCAGATACAGACAAACAACATCCAACCTTCACCTAAATTGTACCCCTATAGTGCCTTCCCTGCTACACTATAGTTTACCAAACAAAACAGTACAATTTCGAGTTGGATAGAACTGAATCTGCGCAATCAACTCAACCGAACTGCAAAGCTTCCATCTTGGGTTCCTTTGCGAGCTCGTCCTTTCTGCTTGCACTGTTCATAGCGCGTACAATGTTGTGCCGAAGCGCACATTGCGCGAGTACCTGCAAATGCATCAAGCGAAAAATGCGAAAGCAAACAAACACACGAACACACCATTCACACGCAAACGCATTCGCACACGCATACTCGTACAAACAGACGGCAGGATGTCGTGCAATGTGCATTTGCACCCAACAGTCCTGCAGGGTAGTGGCTGTATACCTACCTGCACAGGCACCCGCTAGGGGGGTCTTTTTCGTGACGTACTAACGCCCTTTGTGCAGAGCTTGGGTGCCTCTCCGTATACCATATTGCTCGGTGACCTGAACATCGTTGCGGATCCAGAGCTTGACAAATCCTCCAAGCTTGGCACGCCGACGGAGAACCAGAGGCTACTGCAGATTTGCTCGAGATGGGATCTGCAGGATGCTTTTCAAAGCCTCCACCCAACCAGGAAGGAGTACACTTTCTTCTCGAGGTCTGCGAAAACAAGCACGCGAATTGACAGGGCGTTAGTTTCACACTCCTTGCTGGGGTGTGTAACGGAGGCGAAGCATTGTATGGTACCCTACGGCCTGACAGACCACTGGTTTGCAGTGAGGGTGACGCTCAAGGCGGCGGCAGCAGATGATCATGGGCCGGGGTTGTGGAGGCTCCAGATGCCTCGGTCCGGGGGTGATGGTGTCAAGAACATCGTCTCGGTGGTGGTGTCGTCACATGAGAGCTGTCCGGGTCAAAGCTTGGAGAGACTTGTGGTGAACCTGCGTGCATGTATGCGTGCTCATGTAACAGAAAAGAGAAAGAGGGTGAGAGCGACTTTGTTACACCTGGAACGGAAGGTGGAAGAGTTGCGATGGAAAGTGATGGCGGACGCCTCATCGCAGGCCCTATACAAGGAGCTGGTCAAGGCTGAGGCAGCACTTAAACTCTATCAGGATGATAGCAAGGAGCGGCTACAGGTCATGACGGGGCTGCTGGTGGAGCTGGCCAGTGAAACGCCTTCGGGTTTCCTGTCGGGTTTGGCCAAATCGAGAAAGGCAAAGACGGAAATTATGGAGCTGGTATACAAGGGGGTACAGAGGAAAGGGGCGAAGGAAGTACTGCAGGCGGCTTCTGAACATTTCAGGGAAGCGTAGCGGAGGCAGCGCCTGGTCGCACCGCGGAGCCATGGCCGATAGATGAGGGAAGGAAGCTGCAGGAGACGGACAAGCTGCAGCTGGATGCGGAGTGGTCGGAGCAAGAGGTGAAGGCAGCGCTCAAAGGCTTACCAGTGGGGAAGGCCCCGGGGCAGGATGGGCTGCCGAAGGAGTTTTTTGAACGCAACTGGGAGCTGCTTGGCCCGGCTGTGATGAAGGAGGTTCGTGGCTTCGAGTCGACGGGGGTACTCTCGGAAGCCTTTACAACCGCGGTAACCATTCTGCTGCACAAGAAAGGAGACAGAGGCGATTTGGGAAATTACCGACCGATTACATTACTCAGTTTCTTTTATAAGCTACTGGCGAAGGTGATGGCGAACAGAATGAAGCAGGTCTTACCGCGGGTCATCTCGGACAAACAGTTCGGCTTCCTCCCGGGGAGGAGCCTAGCCGATGCGGTCTCGCTGGTAGCGGATGTAATTGATGCCGGGCAGGAGGATGAAGATTGGCTGCTGCTGCTGGTGGATTTCCAAAAGGCTTACGATTCTGTGTCCCGGGGCTACCTGTTTGCGACGCTTAGTGACATGGGTTTCCCGGATAAGTTTGTGCGGTGGGTGAGGGGCCTGCACGACGGCGCGACGACCAGGATGCTGCTGAACGGTTGGGTAGGAGAGCGTGTGGCAATGGACAAGGGAGTGTGGCAGGGATGCCCGCTTGCTCCATATCTCTTCCTTTGCGCGGTGGAGCCGCTCTGCCAGGAAATTGGGAGGAGGAATCTGGGTGTTCGGAAATGAGGGGTGAAGGGGGAGTTAGCCTACATAGGATATGCCGACGATACAACACTTGTTTTGAAAGGAAAGGAGCAAGTGGCTACAGCGAGTAAGCTGCTTGACGACTTTGCAGAGCTTTCGGGGCTGAGAGTGAACAGCAGCAAAACGACGCTGATGCCGCTGGGGAAAAACAGGAGGAGACTGCTGCCGATTGAGTCGCCCTTCACGTGGGCTGACAAAGACAAGTCGGAGCGGCTTCTGGAAATCTGGATAACCTCTGGTGGGTCGCCGGGTCCTGCATGGGATAAAGCATTTGAAAAGGTCAGTGCGGTGCTGAGCTGCTGGGAGTCGAAACACCTCAAGACGTCGGCGCGAGTTACGATCATCAACAGCTATGCGATGCCGATCCTGCTGTTTCAAGCGCAGATCTATGCCCCGCCGCACGATATCTGGACCAAGGTGAAGAGGCTGTGTCACAACTTCATCTCGGGAGGAAGGGCGGTCCTCGATAGGCATTTCACCCTCTGGAGTTATGACCTGTCGTGCAGGGGACGGAAGGAAGGGAGGCTGGGCGTGATTGACCTGAAGCAGCGGATCGACAGCATAGTGATACAGAACCTGGGGAAAGTTCTGGCGGAGCAGGTGCCATTACGAAACTGGCTATGGGAGAGGGCGGCCAGCTTCCCGCTTGGCCTAGCCACGATTTACGCCCATCCGTCGGTGCTGAAACATTGGCTGGGTGGTGGCACGAGGTGGAAAGCGGCGGTAAAGACGTTGTGGGATTCAAAGTTGGTAGTCATGGGCGATCCTGCGCACAGATGGGATGCAGAGGAGGAGCAGTTGCTTTTCAACCGGAAATTTTTCTTCAGGGGTGGCTCACCTTTCGGGAACCAGGCAGGCTCACACTGTCTGAAGGGCGTCCGTCTGGGCGACCTGGTAGCCAAAGGAGCAAGTGGCGGGAGGAGTCTCAAAAGCGAGGCGGTCCTGGAACGGGAATTGGGCGGAGAGGAGCAGAGGAAATGGGCCCTCAAGGCATGGGAGGCGACGCCCCAGGGATGGAAAGATCTACTACTCGGTCAACTAACAGCGGAGGAGGTTTTCAGGGAGACGGGGCTTATCTGTACACCGTCGTACCGGCCGAGAGAGTTCTTTTACTATCGACTAAAACACGTGGAAGAAGGGGTGTTATATGGGAAAAGGGTGGAAGTGGATAAGAAGGGCTTCGTATCGACGGTGAGATATGCGGATGTGGTGGCGGTGGATTTCCTGCGAGCTACGCCTATGGCGGTCATCGACGGGAGGATTCGTGGCCCGCTAGGAACTCCAAGGACAAAGCTGCTCCACACACCGATTTGTGACAAGGGAGAGCGAGCCGAGCTGAGACAGCTGAGGAAGGCGATGAAACCCCCGGTGTCCCAGCCTAAGCAGCAGCTGAGATGGGAGGAGGAGATGGGGAAGAAGATCGATTGGGGGAAGGCCATCACGGTCCGGGACTCTTTGGCAACTCCATGCAGAGCAAGGGAGGTGGTGCTGAGGCTGCACAGCAACAACCTGCAAGTGGGGGAGAGGCTGCCCTTCCTGGGGGAGAGGGCGAAATGTGTGCATAGCGGAGAGGTGGAGTCGCAAGATCACTGTTTGTTCAGCTGCCCGGTGATCCAGCCGGTGGTCAAGATGATGAAGGGGGCGGTACAGTGCATGAACCCGGGCAGGGAAATGAAGTCCCTCGGATACATGTTGTTTCAGAAGAGTGGCACGTCGACCGGTTTTCCGGAAGCTGCAATCATTTCGATCACAGCACAGCAAGTGTGGCTGGAGAGGTGCAATGCGGTGTTTCGTGGCAGTCGCTTTCAACCGAAGAGAGCACTGAGACGCATAGCGGTTGGTTTTACAAGGCACGTGAAGGTATACAGCAGAGCGCGGAAACGGTCGGCTGGCAGGGGTGTTTCAAAGAGGACGGGGGAGTGGAGTCATCTGCATGCTGACGAGGCAGCGGCTCTGGGCAGGTTGTATGAGAACGAAGCCTCGATGACGTGGAGAACGGGTTTCACGGCTGTGTGGAAGGACGGCGGTGTCGCTTTCCAGCCCCCGTAAGGTGGAAGGGGGGGCCAGGTTACCTGTAACCATCTACATGCCCTCCTAGTATCAGTTACGACTGCGAGTGTATGTATGCGTGTAGTGTACTTATGCTCACCAAAAAAAAAAAAAAAAAAAAAAAAAAAAAAAAAAAACGAGCAATCTCCATGATCAGGCCAATGCGACGCTCAGCAATCCCATTCAGCTGAAGCGAGCCCGGCTGCGAGTACGACAGGACGATCCCCTGCACACGACAGAACTGCTTCACTCGACCAGAGGTGAACTCACCACCCTGCTCAGAGTGCAAGCCAAGCACAAGACGGCCTCGCTGGGTGCGGACGGCTACTATCTTCTGGAGAAGCGCGTTAGGCACGTCGGCCTTCTGCTGTAGAGGGAACATCATGGTGTAACGAGAGAACTCGTCCGCAACAACTAGGAAGTAGCGCTCCCCACGAGGCCCAGTAACCGGAGCAGGGCCCCAGAGGTCCCCGTGCAGGTGCTGAAGAGGAGCAGTGGCGCGAGACAGCGTGGAGGAGTGAGGGGCGGCGTGCTGCCGGCCCTCGACACAGGGAGTGCAAGGAGGCGCAGATGAGGGAGGAAGCGGCGCAAGCGACTCTGGAAGACCTGTGACAAGGCGACGGGAATCTATCTGACGCATACGTGAAAAGGAAGGGTGGCCTAGACGGTGGTGCCAGAGAAGCAATGGGTACATAAGAGACCGACACTAGCACGACGCAGCTACCTGACCAGACGCGGCTGCCTGACCTGGCGCAGACACTGGGGCAGTCTCAGTGCGCAGTGAATAAAGACCTGACCCAGGCTCTCGAGTGAAAGTAGCAAGGATAGCCCTAGTGGCTGTGTCTACACAGACTGCAAACAACCCGTGCGCAGGAAAAATGATGGTGACTCCGAGATCCTGAAGATGGCAGACACTCACCAAGTTCCTAGAGAACGAGGGGAGGTGTAGATTTGAGAGGGAACCAGCGGGGGCTGCTGGACACAGGGATTGTAGTAGCAGTGCGTGCCACAACCGGACCCGAAGCGGGATCGGCCAAGGCAATTGGGACTGGAGACGGTAGGGGAGCGAGGGTGGTGCGGTCGCGGAAGAAACACTGAGACGCGCCAGAGTAAAGCGTAAAGGAGAGTGACGCGACACTAGACGTTGAACCTGGGCTAACAGCAGTACAAGTGCCTAGACTAGAAACAGCGATAGACCCGAGACTCGGCACGTACGGGCAGGGTCCGGTAGGACTCCACTGCTGCTGAGGGACCCAGTGGTGAGGCTACTGCGGTTGATGCTGCTGCTCGTGCGGCTGCGACCACTACTGCTGCAGCTGCGTCGACATAGTAGTGTAGCAGGAACGGTACGGGCGGCAACGAGCAGGAAAGGGTAGAAGAGGGCAGCTAAGAGTGGCTCAAGCCGGAAAAATGTGACTAGCAGCAGCTAGAAGGCGGCCAGGGGCGGTTGCCGTGGTACGCTGCGGGCGGAGGCAGCAGCAGCTATTCACGATGCGGCTGCACAAGGGACGGCGGCGGCGACTCTGGCGGTGGTAGCTGCTCTAGTGGCGGCCATAGCAGCGGCTGGAGTGGCTGTGGGGGCTATAGCAGCAGTTGCGGTGGCAAGCTGCAGTGGCGGCGGCACCAGCTGCAGGGGCGGCGACAAGCTGCAGTGGCGGCGGCACTAGCTGCAGCGGCGGTGGCAAGCAGCAGTGACGGCGGCACTAGCTGCAGTGGCGACAGCGGTCTGCAGTGACAGCGGCAACAGCTGCAGCGTCGGCGGCAAGTTGCAGTGGCAACGGTAGTGGCTGCAGCGGCGGCGGCAGGCTATAGTGGCGGCGGCACCAGCCGCTTTGGCGGCGACAAGCTGCAGAGACGGCGGCACTGGCTGCAGCAGCAGCGACAAGCTGCAGTGGCGGCGGCACTAGCTGCAGCGGCGGCGGCAAGCTGCAATAGCAGCAACTCTAGCTGTAGTGGTGGCACCAAGCTGCAATGGCAGCGGCAGTGGCTATATTAGGGGTGGCAATGGCTGCAGTAGTAGTAGCAAGGCCGGCAGTGGCTGTAGCAGGCAGTAGTACGGGTGGTAGTGGCTGTAGTAGACAGTAGCATGGGCGGCAGTGGCTGTAGCAGGCAGTAACAGGGGCGACAGTGGCCATAGCAGACAGGAACAGGGGCGGCCGTGGCTATAGGAGGCATTTACAGGGGTGGTATTGGCTGTAGCGGCAGGAGCAGGTGTGGCAGAGGCTGAAACAGGCACGACAGTGGTGACAACTACAGTTGTAACTGCAGATAACGATGGCACAGCGGCTGCAGCAGCGGCGGCGGCGAATCTGGCGCTAGCCGTTGCCATTCGAGCGACTGCAGCTACGCTACTGTTCATGATCTGGCGGCACTAGTCGCTGCTGGTCGCGATAATGGGGCGGGGCGGGCTCGCGCGGCGGACTAGCGTGAAAGCGGCGAGCTGACGGGGTGGGCGGCAGGCTCTCGCGACGGGCTAAAAAAATGAAACGCGCCATCTGTGGCGACGACCGCAGGGCCCGCAGAGGCCTACTAGGCAACCAAATCGGGGCCCGCGCGGGCCTCTAATGGACGTCAAATCGGGCCTCTAATGGGCGTCAAATCGAAGCCACGCGGGGCGCGCGGGAGGCAAATCGCTAGCGTCGAACCGGTGCCTGCGAGGCGTGCGCTAGGTGACGGGAAATAAGGGTGGACGCGTGCTAGATTCGGGCAAGGTTCGGGATAGGCGCGGCGGAAGCTAAACTAACCTACCTAGCTCTGATACCATGTCAATTATCGAGAGAATAAGGTGAGCAATAGGGTAGAATCGAGAGTACAAAGTAGAAGTGCTATCCTCAATAAGAACTAACCCTACTCTAGACTATATAACTATGTAAATGTAACATACAAATATCTAGTCTGACATGCTTATCCTAGCCTAGGCCTCTATATCTCCT